CAGAAAGAAAAAGGTTGAGAACCCCGCCTTATGCAGAACTTCACTTTCCCAAGAATATAGCCTGTCTCCTATAATCCTAGAAATTAGGTTGCAGTCAAGGGCACGTAATTGCATGAGATGGAACTATTCAGTGCTCTTCATTTTGTCCAGAGGCTTCTGTTCATAGTCACTAATATAAACTTTTTCTTTTAAACGTGAGCAAGAGAAAAATTAAATCTACACAACAGCTTGAAGCCCTGTGTCAAGGATCCATATTTTGGCAGAGTCTGCCACCTGCTGGAATCCAGGAGAATTTCATCAGAATTATTTTACAGGTTATGGACCAAGTAAATGTACAGATTTATAGAGTTTAAGGCCATTAGCTGATCTAGTCTGACATTTTGAATATCACGGGCCATTAAATTCTACCCAGGTATCCCAATATTGAGCCCAAGAACTTGTGTTTGACCATGAGCTTTGTGTTTGGCTAAAGCACATCTTCCAGAAAGCCCTCCAGTCTTGTTCTGAAGATATCAAGAGATGGAGAATCCACCCATTCCCTTGGAAGTTTGTTCCAATGGTTAATCACCCTCATTGTTAAAATAGTCACCTCTTAATCTTCAGTTTGATAAACTAAACAGAGCGAGCTCTTTACGTCTTTCACTGTAAGACATTTTCTCCAATGCTCAGATTAGTTTTGTGGCTGTTTTCTGCACAATCTCCAATTTTTCAACATTCGTTTTAAAACGCAGACACCAAAATTGAACGTAGTATTCTAGCATCAGTCTCAATAATGTTGAATACAGACATAATAATCACTTCCTACTCCTACACGCTGTTCCCTGCTTATACATCCAATAATTCCCCTTCTCCCTCCTTATATTATGGTGGTACTTAGAGGCCCTCACTGTACACAGTACAAGGTAATCCCTGCCCCCAAAGAGTTTACAATCTATTAAATGAATCTCTGTGTTAGTTATTAATTAATGTCTGTGATACAGTCATTCTCCAGTTTGTAACAGAGGCTCATGCCCTAAATTTATAGATTTTTTTTTTTTAAAGTACAGAAGGGACCTTTAAGTTATCTAGTCTGACCTCCTGTATGGTCCACAGATAATAAAATTTAATCTGGTTACTCCTGTACTGAGCCCAATAACCTGTGTTTGACAAGAATGCATCCAGTTTTCTATTCTATTCTATTCTATTCTATTCTACTAAGGTTTTTCCGCCATGCTCATCACTGTAGTATCTACACATTAATAAAAAACCCACAGCAGTGAGTCTCAGAGCCCAGGTCAATTGACTCGGGCTCACAGGGCTCAGGCTGAGGGACTAAAAATTGCATTGTAGATGTCCAGGCAAAGACTGGAGCCCAGGCTCTGAGACACTCCCCCATAGTGGATTCTCAGGCCCGAATGTCTACACTACAATTTTTAGCCCCACAAGCCCAAGTCAGCTGACCCAGGCCAGCCGTGGACATGCTGTGGGTCTTTTATTGAAGTCTAGCTGTACCCTGTCTTCCAGTACATAGGCGCCGACTCCGTGGGTGCTCTGGGACTGGAGCACCCACCGGGAAAAAATGGTGGGTGCTCTGCGCCCACCAGCAGCCCCCCATCAGCTCCCGCCCACCCCCCGGCTCCTCCCGCCTGCTAGTGGCCCCACAATCAGCGCCTCCCTCCTCACGCCTGCCATGAACAGCTGTTTTGCGGCATTCAGGGAGGCTGGGAGGGAGGGGGGAGGAGCGGGGACGTGGTGCGCTCGGTGAGCACGGAGAGACAGCGGAACTGGGCGGGAAGAGGTGGGGCCTTGGGAAAAGGAGTGGGGGGGGGGCCTGGGGCAGGGCAGCACCAGAGGTTGAACACTCCCCTGTACTTTGAAAAGTTGGCACCTGTGTTCCAGTAGTGCCTTAAGTAACATTAATGTCTGTCACATGTTCAGTCTCTCATCCTCCCCTGAAGAGAAGGGCAGATATACACGTTTGTTAGTGAAGGCAAGGTCGAAGATGTGCCCCTTGCTCTTGGAGCAGAAGGTGGTGACGTTTGTTATGGTCCTTAGTTCCTAGAAGAGTTCATTGACAGTCTCAGAGTAGCCCTTATTGTAGCAGAGCATAGCTGTCTACCCCTGTCTTCATCCTGTAGCTTTAGGTGAACTTTTAGGTACCCTCGACTTGGCCTATGGAGCATCTTGAACTTGCTTCAATATTCTACAGAAAGCCAGTGGAGGGGAAAGAGAACAGGTCTGATGTGTTTGCAGACTTTGAGAGATGGCGAATCCACCACTTCCCTTGGTAGTTTATGCCAATGATTATTGGCTCTTACCGTTACGAGAAATAGGCCTTATTTCTAATTTGAATTGCTGATTTAACTTCCAGACAGGCAGCTGGCATCTTGCTGTGAGATGCCACATATGGGAATTTCACATAAGGTTTCTTTAAAAATGAAGATAGCTAGAAAGCTAGCTGTAGATTTCAGCAGCCGTTGGCTGACACTAATGAGACTAAGGGCTAGCCTACACTACCACGCTGCATTGTAACCTTTGGACAGAATCATGTTTGGCTCTCGCACGTGATTATTCCCCAGCCATGGGGGAGTGTTCAAAGTGAAATGTAGTAATGGCTGGCCTCAGCTGCGCACTCAAGGAAGGGTTTGCTTTGCTTTGAAACAAACATTCAGCTGGGAATTATTTTTGTCATATGGCTATTATAGTGTAAAAGTATGAGATGCTAAGTGTCACACTGTCTAGCCTGATTACGCATTTTCATATGTCACTACCCATTGTTTAGTCATTTGCACAGAGAAATTATTTGTACTCTTTGTGGTCTGGTTTTAGGCTGTTCTACTGTGGGAACTTGTAGTAGCAGTTTCCCTTTGCTGGGTGGGACTCCCAGTTTGTAACTGCCCAATCGAGTGCAAGGGCCTCTGTCTACTGAGCAGATTACTTTGCTTGACCAGTGTACACACTGAAGCACAGCGCAGCTGAGGGACGAACCGTTCAGGCCCAGCAAGTGTTTTGGGGGTGGGGCCTGTCGCTGTCTTACGCAGCTGTGTGTGCTTCTGGTAGGAAATGCTCCACCTTCGTGCTGAATTAGGGCCGTATGGAACTGCACTCTGTGTGGCCCGCCTAACCCCACCCTTATTCGTGTGTGACATCCCACATCCCCCTCTGAAGGCCCACTGGAGATGTCATTTATGTATCATGCAGGGGGATACAGGGTCCATCTGGATGAGCTTATCCCACTGCCTGGGACACCTGGGTGGCATAAATACCTCACTATGGCTACGTCTTCACTACCGGCCGATCCGGCGGGTAGCAATCGGTTTATCGGGGATCGACTTACCGCGTCTCGTGAGGACGCGGTAAAATCGATCCCTGATCGCTCTGCCGTCGACTCCGGAAATCCACCTCGACAAGAGGTGGCAGCGGAGTCGGCGGCAGCGCGGCAGCGGTCGGCTTTCCCCCGTCCTCACCACCAGGTAAGCCGACCTAAAATACGCAACTTCAGCTACGGTATTCACGTAGCTGAAGTTGCGTATCTTAGGTCGGAACACCGCTGTAGTGTAGACCTAGCCTATGTTTGGGCCTTACCCATCTATGTGTAAGGGGACTGTTGGCCCTTACTAAAACTCAGGGGGGTTTGTTTTTGTTGGATACCTCCCAGTACCAAAAGGTTGGGGACGGGTCGATGGGAAATCAGAACCCTGAGACTGACAGTCCCCAGGAACATTGGGGAGAGGCCAATGCTCCAGGTCAGCCTGATTGACAGGACAGGCACGCTAATGAGGGAGTCAGGAAGCCAGGGGGGTCCCGTCCTCCATGTGAGCTGGAATTGCCTAGGACCTGGGTCAGACAGAACAGGGCCGAGCTAAGGAGGGGCAGGAGCCTGAGCTGAGCCGGGGAGCAGGTCAGTGCTGGGAAGCAAGCCACAGCAACAAAAGCCAGAGAAGCAGCCCAGGGAGCTGGAGGCAGAGCAGCAGCAGTGGTGACACAAAGTGAAGCTGGGGCTGGAGTAGTCCAGAGCTGGGTACGGTGAGCAGCTGGGCAGAGCAAGGGGGGACCCTGGGCAGCGGGTCCAGCACAGGGAGACGCCCCCAGCCAAAAGGCCTTGCAGGCCAGACTTGGAGGGGGAATGTAACCTCAATGGGGGACGGGGGCTGATGCTGGGAAGAAGGGTCCTGCCACTAGCGCCTGAAAGTGTGTGGCCACCGCCAGAGCAAGTGTCCGACCTGCAGCATCCCTGCAGCACAGCCAGGGCCTGAGAAGGAGGCCTGGGACTTGTTAGGAACAGACTGAACTTCCCTTACATTTCAGAGATGCTGGTTATGATGTCCCCATGCCACAGAGCAGGACGATGGGTTTTCCTTTCACCTTTCCCATTTTTTTTCTTATTTTTTAAAATTGATTGCTTTTTAATTAATTGTATGTGCTTGGAACTGTATGTAATGATCAGTGAGTCAGGGAAGTATCCAGTGCAGAGAGAGCACCCCAGAGTTGGGACACCCTAACCCCTGCCCTAAGTGACCACAACAAGGTTGGGGGCCAAGCCCCCCAGGAATCCTGGACCCAGCCTTGTTGAGGTTACGAGGACTCTGCCACACAGGAGAGTGGATGGGGAGCCTTCAAGGTCAGACAGGCCTCTGGGTAAAGGAAGTGGGAGCGAGGACTCCGATCCTTTCGCTAGCCCATTTCACTGGGGCAGTATATAAGCCAGGAAAGTTCCCCACAATAGCGGGACCATTCCCCCGTTTACATATGTAAGGCAGTTTGGGTCTTGGCTCACTGAAAATACACCCCTTAGGGTCAATGGAACAGATGGACAGGTCCTGACTGGTGTAAATCAGTGTAGCTCCATGGGATTCAGTGAAGCCACGGCAATTTATACAGCTGAGGATCTTGCCCAACATGTGATGAATCTCCCTATTGTTTGTTTGTTACTATCTGTGACACAGTCAGTCAACATTTTGTAACTCAGATAAAAACAGAAACTTGGCCTTTCTTATTATTATTTATTGTGAATGTTGAAATGTCATGTAGTTTTAACCTAAAGATGAACTGGTTAGACAGAGAAGTCAGATAACTGGAAGACCCTTCCTGGACAATTATTTACAGCAAAGCAGTTCAAACAAGATGCAGCTTGGAGAAAAAAAAAGGAGAAGAGTTTAGTCAGTGTTGGAACATACAAGAATACAAGTGTTTAGGTATTTTACACAAAAGTAATCTTGTTTACACAAAAGAAACCTTGTTGGTTATCTGTTACAATTGAGTGCTTGTGAAACATAGTCTCTTAAGGATACTATTCTATTCCTTCAAGGTTGGAAGATCTTCACTTCAGCTTGGAGTGCTTTCTTTCCTATTCATAACTTGAAGCAGATAATCCATCATCTAATAAAGAGAAGTAAATAATATTTACAGAACAGGCTTGTCAAAAGTCACATCCTGATTCAATAAACCAAATGTATAACTGTACTCTGCATCTATTCCATACAACAAATACATTCCTAATACTTGCCCCCCAATGTTAGCTTGCTAAAAGACAACCAAGGTCCAAGAAAAAAAGAGTTATTCAAAGTTATTTTCTTCATAGTCCCATTTATATAACATCAAATTAATGTTGGAAAGTGAGTTCATAGAAACATTTTATAATTTACTTTGGATTGCACTTGCAACAACTTGCAAGAGCAAAACCTTAGAACACCAAGGAAAGCAGCTGCTTCAGATTTCTACAGCTGTTCCAGATTAGTTTTAGTTTTAATTTACTCTATGTATGAGGGGTGGGAGGGTTGGTGTTGATTTGCGGGTTGTTAAATTAACTGAGGCAGAAGAATTTGACAGTAAAACAAAAATCAGAACCTTGGGGGAACGATGAGCAAGGCTGAATTGTTAGGACATGACATTCAAGATAATAAAAATGAACAAGCATTGTAGACTCCCTGATCAGACAGGCAAAATATGAGGAGGCAACAATAGGAATAGAGAAGAATTGTGCCTAGAACACAATAGTAGCAGTGGGAGATTTCAGCTACGCAGATAGAAAATGAGACTAAATAAGTCAAGCAGTAGGGACCTGATTCTTATATATGAGCCAGATGTGAAACCAGAGGGACCTTCTGCTTCTTGTTTCTAGATACTTTTAATTTGGATTTTTAAAAGGTAACATTTGAATATATACATGGAACAATGAAATTACAGCACAGTGACTATGTGTACATTATGGCATCATGCCTTTAATAATCCTGTAAACCTATGCCCATGCTACACACAATAACCTAAGTATACTCTCAACAGGATCTCCTCCTGCACTTTCCTTACGGAATAAACGTATAGAATTTAATGGGATGAACCCAATAAAGTTCTGTAGAAATTACTATATGACATATAGAAAACATCACTGAGTTACAAATACTTAGTACCCACTCAAGAGGGGGCCTATCTTCATTTGACCTCTACACTTATTTGTATGTCATAACCCTTCTCCCACCCTGTGTCTGTCTTTTGGATGGTAAGTTTTTCAGGGCGGAGATTGTAGTTTTTATGTTTGGAAAATGCCTCACACATTGTGGGCACTAGTGGAAATAAATAAAATAATAATAGGTTTCCTTCTTATAAAGTGGCATTAAGTAAATTCCACTTGGAAACATCCCTGACAAAAGTACATCTAGCAATATGGTCTTATATTCTGTAGTTTTCTATTCCTAGCACAAAACATATAAAGTGTGTTGCTTGTTACATTTTAGGTTCATACATTAGTATGAAGAGTTACTACTAAGATTCTTCCCCCCACTAAAACGTGCTTATATGTACATTCAGTAGGTGGCAGTCTATGGTGTTGCATACTTAGATGGACCCTTGCGATGCTAACATCTCCACAAGCACATACGCAATCTACCATTATTTACAGCCGTGTAATAGATTGACCATGCAATGGTCCCAGAATAATTGATATATGTTCTCTCAGCCTGCATGTATAGTCTGCAATGCTGTTTTCTTTGGAACGTTTACATTTAATTGCTCGACCCCAGTATCTGAACTCAGCAGCAGATACAATCTACCATGACTGATTAAACATGTCTTGATCTTTCTAGACAGTTGGCTTCCATTGAAAATTCAAATACAGCAAGAGTTGGGATTTATTTCATGCGACTTACAGGCCCCATCTGGCACCCATTGGAGTCAGTGGCAACAGCATTATTATAATAATAAATCAACCCAATCTGACCATCTTACATCTAGCCATGCACAACACATCCATCATTGGGGTATCTATGCACCTTCATAAAGATGTTCCACAGCACCACATTAAAATGAAGGGAGTGACTAGACAAAGTCTGGGTAACTAAGACTGTATCATATACCAGAGACGCTACAGAGATAAAATCTGCACTCAAAAGGACCCTGCAGCTCCCTGATAATTACAGCTTTTATGCTCCAAGTCTCATTGGCTATCAGACCAGTGCACCAGTATATTACGCTAGCCTTGGTTTATTATTAAGGCAGCTAATGATTGTTATTATTTAAATAGTATCATAAATGCTCAGGGAATTTGAAGCACATAAGATTCCCGGGGTCTCCGTGTCTGTAAGAGCAAAATCTCAGCAAAGGGTATCATTTGACTTTAAGGGCCTGCCCTATCACTTAGTGGAGTCAATGGGAAAACTTCCACTGACTCCAGGAAGCATTGGCTCAGGGCCTAAACAGATTGTTTATGACAAAAATAGAAGCTCTTCGTGCGCTACCATTGAAAAATGCAAAGCAAAATCTCCTTTCATGTGTGCCCTAACCACTGAACTATCGGATATTCTGATGGGTAGGGGGGCCCCCCAGTCCCTCCTGCTGAAGCTGTTCCACTTTGGATTTACACAAAGGGCCAGGTTGGGGGTGTGTGTGAAAGAGAGCACAAGCATGAGAATGACTCCCTAGGTTGGTGGTTATAGCACTCACCTAACATGTGGGAGACCCAGTCCCCCTACTCTAATAGCTCTTTCATTATTTATACACAGCTTCAACAGGAGAGACAGAGAGAGTTCCCCATATCAGACTATCCCTATTCCCAATGGTTAGAGCATCACCAAAGAGGTGGTAGATTCCTGTTCAAATCCCTTGTCTTGCTCAGGTGGAAGGGAGACTTGAACTGGGCATCTCCCCAGGGCCGCCCAGGGGGGGGGGCAAGTGGGGCAATTTGCCCCAGGCCCCACAGGGCCCCCCCATGAGAATATAGTATTCTATAGTATTGCAACTTTTTTTATGGAAGGGGCCCTCAAAATTGCTTTTCCCCAGGCCCCCTGAATCCTCTGGGCGGCCCTGCATCTCCCACATCCCAGGTGAGTACACTAACCACCAGGCTAAAAGTTACAAAGGAGGTCCTCCTCCTCCCTCCCTGCAGCTGTTCTGGGTGAACTCACATGCAGGACCCAATCTGCTAAGCGGCCTCAGAACATGCCTACTGGCTTAGGCCTGGCAGGTGAGTTGGGCAGCCAGGTGCATCTCACTGGGGCTCAGGAGGCCAGATACCTAGAGTGAGACGGCCCTGTACCTGCACAGAGGCAGAAACATAAACTCACTGGGTGAAAGTTCCCTGGGTGCCTAGGCACCTGCATGTTTGGCAGCCACTGAACGGGGTTTTTGTGATTCTCAATGGGGACTGATCCTGGGATTTAGGAGCCTAAAATGGCAGTTAGGTTCCTAAGTCCCTTTCTGACTCTAGCCCCAAATTCCAATTTTGTGATACAGTGAAATTTGTTTTGAGTGGCAGCAGTTTATCAAGGTTAGGTCATAACATCAAAGGACAGAAATAATATCAAGTGATACAGATGGCCATTCATGTAGCTCAAATATTGAAAGTGGAATCCTGACCATTCAAATAAATCAGCTAGCTAATGAGAGGCAGATTGGGCAGTAGTTGGGGATATCTTCTTCGTTTGTTTGTGTTTTTAAAAATACAAAACCACTGTGTTTGAACATAGCTCACCTACCTAACCATCATGTGATCTTATCATCATCACCCTTAATCTTCCTCCCTTGTGGTTCCCTCCTACTATTTGCACGGGTTTTCAGATTACATTGTGAACTCTTCAGTGCAGGGACTATATCTAGTTGTGTGTTTGTTTGGCAATGACTGGGGCACTTGTATAATACAAATAAATCACAATATTGAAAAAATATTCACATCAAGTAGTTTGCACCCAAGCCATAGGCTGAAATTTACAAAATATTTGCTGAGCTGTTCTAAATAAATACATCCATAAAAGATATACTCTATTCAGTGACAATTTGCGATCAGGAATAAGGGATAAATTCACTGAATTAGTTATTCATTACAAATTGTTTGACCAGCTCTACCAGCAATCCCAGAGTTAGGAGCTAACTTGTTTAAAAAAAAATAGATTTACAGTACCTTCTTGTTTTAAACTTACATCTTTAAAGCTGCTGTCATCATCTGTCTCCCAAGTGTTCTTGGTATACCACGGAAGCTCTTCCCTTAGGATCTGAGCGCTTCTGTTTTCATTCCCTTCTAACAGCCTTAGCAAATTCTTCAACGTTTCTTCCCATTGCAGGTAATCTCCCAGCTGCTTGACATTTTCAGGTAATGCTGAAAATGGGATCTTGTTTTCTTCTTCATAAACATAGGGAAAATCTCCAGTGCTCTTTTTCCCCATTAAATGTCCTATAAAAATCATCAGAATATCATGACATTAATCAAAAATTAATGAGCGTGTGAGTGTGGATGTCCAAAGCCGCATTCTGATTGGCCACTGGAGCCTTTTGGATGATGTCACACCAACTCAGAGTCACACACAAAAATCCCTATGCCCATTATATTAAATGGGCCGGGGATATGTTGATGAGAAGAGGCTAGATATAATAAGGCACACTGGCAGGGGTAAAGAGAGACAGCTGAGAGCAGGAGTGAGTGTGAGCAGGTAAAGGAGAGGTTGAGAGTTTTAATTCCTTCCCACCCAAGTTCAGCATCAGAATGTGGCTCTTCCTACCACTTTTAACCGCAATTTTTATGGCAAAAAGCTACATTTGATAGGCTTCATTATTCCAGGTTTCGTTTTTATGAAAGTGAAATTGATATTGGCCGTGGTCCACAAACTGAGGGCAAGTCTACACTGCAAAAGAGAAACGCTGGGGACAAGAACTTGCCAATGATCGCTGTAATAAGTGGAGCGAAAGTCAGGGCACCGCTTTCAGGAAATAATTCTAATGAGTATCAGTTGGGGCTCATTGCCCCTTGGATCTCACTCTCGAATATACATTTTGAATTCAGAAATAGCAGGATGTGTTACAATGATTAATTCTTCCCAAGTGTCGAGCTCTTCTTTCTTATTCCCCACTGTAGCGCCCTTCTTCCCCCGGACACTATCAGCGCGCATTGCAAGCTTTCAATTCCCTTTGACTTTTGCAAAGACGTATTATTAATCTGTGGTCACTGGAGCTGTATTTAATTCCGTTTCCACCTCTCATGCCATGGCTGATACGAACTAGACAGAGCTCTGCGGCTTTTGATGGGGGAAGCAGACGAAAGGAAACAAGTCTGCCCCTGTATCACACCCCAGCCCCCAATATCCCTGCCTCTGGGGAGTAGCCTACAGACCAATACTACAAAATGGATACAACACCCGCGCTAGAGGAGCTAAGAGAAACGAGGCGACTTTGGGAGTCTAGTGACTAGCTAGACAGACACTATCAGCTTCCAATGAAACGACTTCCTCCTCCAGTGTCAGTATCACAAAAGGCACTTGCTGGCCATGGAAATCAGGGGCTGAAGCCAGCTCGTGTGCCTTGAAGAAGAGCTCTGTGTAGCTAGTGCCAAAGCTTTTCTCTCTCACCAGAGGAGTTGGTCCAATAAAAATTATCATCTCACCCACCTGGTCTTTCAAGTAAGGAGGATTGTTCCATTCGCCTAAGAATGTATTTGACTCGTTTTTAATTACACCTTCCCCCTGGTTCAGTCCCACAGGGCAGCTCTGATGGATTTCACAAAGCCCCCCTTCCAACTATTCTGATGGCAGAAAGCTCCTTGAGAAAGCTCCTCTCTTGCACCTCCGCCCCACCTCACTGCTCTGATTAAAGTAAATTGTAGATTATTTATTAATATTATTATTCCTAGTGCCTAGAAGCCCGAGTCATGGACCAGGACCCGTTTGCGCTTGGTGCTGGACAAACACAGACTACAAAGATGGCCCGTGTCCCACACCTGGTTCTAGGAGAGAAGGGCAGAGATTAGCTGCGGAGCCTGTCCTTTGACAGGCTTGTTTTGCGGCTGTGCAGTGCTGCTCTCCGGGGCATGCCAGGAACAAATACTGATCGGTACAGATCAGGACTGGTTAGAGCCCCATTGAAGCCCGTGGGAGCCCTGCCATGGACTGCATGTATCATCTTAAATGAATCACAGGGTTTTAAAGGTAGCTTCGATCTTCTCTTAGCTTGGCTGTCGCGGGTTTGCTCTCGAGCTCAGCCATTGCCTGCGCCCCTGGCAAACGCTCCTTTTCTTACCGGATCCTGGTTGTCCAGTATTGCGGTGACACGGTTCAAGGGCTGGGGAGAGCCACTTTGCCAACAGGGATCCCCAGCATCAAACAGCGCCTATCTTTGCATTTATTAATTAATATAATTTATGAACCTTTCTAACCCCCCCCCCCCTCCGATTCATGTAAAAGTGCATCTGTCTCGCCAGATCTCCTGCTTTCGTGAGCCGGAGGAGAATCAACGCCCTGCGCCAAACGGCTCTATTTGAATACAGAGTAAATCTTCCCCTTACTGAGACAGCCTGTGTCAAACAAAAAACAAACCCACGGGCTAGTAAAGGCTGGGCGGAGGCGCTGATTAACCTGAGGCTTGGACCTCAAGCCATCGATCGCTCCCTAGACAGACAGACAGACACGTGCTAGGGCGGGCAGGCGGACGGGCGTTACGGGGAAGAGGATCGAGCTAGTTGAAAGTTTCTAGCAGGACCACGAAGCGCGGCCGCGCCTGGGAGAAAAGCCCCCCGCGGCCGCCCCCAATAAATGCTACAGCGGGGTCCGGGGCTGTCCCGGGCTCCCTGCGCGGCGCGGACACTTACCCACCGCCCAGTGGCTGCCCCTGGGGTAGATCTTGGCCAGAGGGGAGGCTCCGCCGTTGGACTGCAAGGGAGCCGCAGCGCCCCAGTGCACCTCGAGCAGGACCAGGGCGAAGAGGCCCAGCGAGAGGAGGGAGCGGGGCTTCCCGAGGAGGAGGAATTCGCAGCCTCCCATGGTGCGCGGCGCTGCCCGGGCGGGACGGTTCCCTGCGGCTGCTGCTGCTGCTGCGAGTCCGGCTCCGGGCGGGGAGGGAGGGAATCCGCTGCTCGGGATCTGCCGGGCCAGGTGCTGCTGCC